TTTTTTTTTTTTTTTTTTCTGGTAGCATCCATGTGTGTTTGGAGTGTTTTAGCCATCAACGTTTTCCAGCAACCATCATGGCCACAAATTGGATGAGAAATGCATAAACCCCCTGGCTCCAGGAGCTGGGGTTCTAAGACAAACTGCCAGGATCATGTGAATATTTAGGAAAATCGCATCAGCAGGTGATTTTCCAAGGGCTGGAATGACTAGGGACACCATGACCAAACAGGAGAAGAACACCCACAGCAAAGTACCACAGCAGGGTAGAAGTCCCTCCAGATGGCACCAATCACCAAATGGGAACACCCCCTCCCTGCTTCCACAGCTGCCATTTGGGTGGGTGTCGGGGCTTTTAGCCATGGCCCTGCCCTACGTCGTCGTGTGTCTCCCCCTCCACCCCCAACTCCGTCCCACGGCCGGGGGCTCCGCGCCTCGCCGTCAGCAGCTCTAGCCTCCTCCCGCTCCGCCACGCTTAAAAGCTGTCGCCTTTTATCCTCTCCCTCCCCGAAGAGCGATCCGAGGGGTCGGGGTCCCCCTGCCGCTGCCTCGTTACCTGTTGGGCGGGGTGCGCATCCATCCACAAGAGTTGCTTGGAAGGGCTTCTCTGTAAAGCGGAGCCCAGCCAGCGGATCACCATCAAGCGGCATTTGCGGCCGATGCTCCCGCGCACCAGGAAGGAGATCGCGTAGCAGCGGTACTTTACTGCAGCAGCTTTTGCGGCAGATGCGTGCGTAGCGATACCGCCGCGCGGCGCTTGGGAGAAGCGTGCCCGAGGAAAGCCCCAGGGGCTTCTCTGCCACCGGAGAAGTGCAGCAAAGGGCCCTGGGTGAACGGTACTGACTGATGAACAAGGATGTCTGTCGGCTGAGTAGGTCCTAAAAAGGCTGTTGGAGATTACTTCTGAGGCGACAAAGTATAAATAGCAGGAAAGAATGCACATGCAAAATTTTAACTGAGTTTTCAAAGTCGGGGAACAGCGACAGGCAGCCAAAATCAACCGGTAGAGGAAGAAGGCACAGGAGATGGGAAGCAGATACAATCCCCAAACACTGGTTTCCCCTTTCCTCCATAGGGAAAATAATGCACTGCGTAGACCTGTTTCTTCAGGCTCCAAAATTGTTTAAACATGGCCGCCTATGGAGGCAGCAGCCAATTAGTTGCTGGTGCTGGAACAAACAGTGAAGGTTTCTAGTTCTGACCAGTTGTGGTTAACTGATCAACAGCCTGGCCTAGAGAGACACACAAGTTCCTCCCTCCTTCTTTTAAGCTTTTTCCCTTATGCAGGGATAGGAGTAACAAACCTGTACCTCAAGTGCAGAACATGTGCTACAGCCTTTGCTGTAACCAACAGTAAGACATTATTAATGTGGAAGCTGCTTGATAACGGACTTGTGGGAGACAGCCAGCTTGCTAGGGCCAGTAAGGCTCACAGAACTGTGGGACTTGACTGCACACAACCCCTACACCACTCACCCACCATATTCCTTAATGGTTCTGAAGACCTGTCATTTCCCTTCAGTGATAAGAGACCTCTATTTTCTGAGGTATGTGGGATACGTCTTAGTGAGACAGAAAGGGTAGTCACTTCTACTCTCTCAGTTCTCCACCCTATTCAAGAATATGAGCCCCGAAGAAAAAAAACTATAATATTAAACTTTTTGAAAATATATTTTAATTATTTCGAATATATTTGCCTAGTGACAATAGTGCAAGTTGTTTCAAGTTTTATTCACTCGTTGTTTTATCAAAAATTTGACATTTGAGCTGTGGGCTCTGTGATTCTTCAGTGCAGTCCCTTGTTAGCAAAAATATCAGGACCTGTGCTTTGAAACAAACCAGTGGTCTTCTAAGGGTATTGATATGAAACACAACCTGACAGGCCTCCACGTCCCTACAAGCTGATACACTTCTCCAAATACTTGATGCCCTACCTGTGGGTGGCTGGTAATTTACCTCATAAAATTTCAGTGTTTTGGGGGGGTTTTTTATGCAGTTTGTTCAAAGTTCTAAGGAACGTAGGTACTTCTGACATACCTTTGATGTTTTAGAGGCACTATCTTCTGCTACAAAGCCAAATAATGTCATTTTATGTGTTATTTATTATCACAGGAGATAGTAGCTCTGGGCATGACACAAAGTGCCGCTGTATTTGAATACAGCAACAGTAAACTTTGGTTCAAGGCAACAGGAAGTTACATGAAGACAAAGCAGCATGATTAATACTGTGTCATCACCGGCTCAAGCCAAACTCTCGCTGACTGTTTGCAGATGTCCTTGCTATTCAGTGAATCCAACGAGTACTTGTACATCTGAGCACTATCATAGAAAGGGGAGATGAGTAGGACAGTCCATGCCATGGTTAATAGCAGTTAAATCGGATTGTCCCATCAGGGAATGCAACTCTTAAGTGTTACAAAATAGTAATGTAACCTCAGTTCCAAAGATGTGTAAGAATGAAGAAACCCAGAGTGAGGTTGGTTTTAATCTTTTCATAAAACTGAAGCACTGCCTTGCACAAGTCAGTGGTGTTACTTAACCGTCTTTAGCCTGGTCCTTTACATTCGGCTGTTACTTTATGATAGAGATTCACACCTAAAGCAGCTTCTCTTCCTGTTAAAACCTTGTTCAGTTTTACAATGCCCTTGGGTAGATTTTGTCCATCTATGAGTGGGACAAGGCTCAAGGGAGCTGTGTAAAGAGGATGCTTCAGTAGATGGCACTCTCCCTCTGAGTGAGGATGAGCAGATAGCTCAGCCAAGGAATTTGATGCAGTGAGAGCAACTTCCTTTATACTCTACAGAAACTGCAATGAATGCAAACAAGGCTCTGCCTAGCTATGCAGTGAAGTATCCCCCGGCAGTTTTTCACAGATCTGGATCTATCAAATCCTTGCATCTGACTTCCTCCTTAAATGACTATAGTCTGTTTCTGTTCAGCCTGAATTCCTCCTGAAATCTTAACGGTGGATAAATACATACACATATTTAAAATATATCTATTTATTATATATAAAGAAGATATATTTAAAAAAATATATATAATTTAAAAGAGTTCAGTAGTAATGTAAGTCATACACATCAGACTCAGGGTTTAGAACTGTTCTGTTCCCTCAACCATTTTCTTCTAACTCATCTTATTTTACTATTCTGTCAGTGGTAGATTCAGTTTAAGAACTCAAGTCCTTTGGTTTGTCGATTGGTTTTTGTTGTTATTTTGAAGCCACAAAATTTAATAGAGCAGTCACACTGAATTATTACAAGTGAGGAGGCCTTAACTGCAGATATGGGGACAATAAAGACCTGCTAGGTATTAGGGGAAACTTTGCCTTTTAGATCAAATCTGTTGCTAACCAAGCAGAAATGCACAGCCATCAACAGCTTTCTAAACTGTAGTGTTTTCCTCACCCCTGAACAGAAGGGTAAGAGAAGAAACGTGTATAAGACAAAGGTTGTAATAAAAAATTACATGGGACAAATTAATAACATAATTTTTTTCCATTTTTTAAATGGCTTTGGATTCTTGGGTAATATAAATATATTCTTTCAATTTACTGCTTTTTAAGCATTTCTTTAAGTATCTGTTTTCTTATTTGACTAGCACACGGGTTAAATAAGACTCCATACGTTCTCAATCCCTGCCTCTTTCCTCCCAGAAATCCTCTTTCCACTGATTAAAATCACAGTAATAACCGAATATTTTTTCCAATATTCATGTCAGAGTCTGAGGTTTTCTGGGTCTGTCAGAATGAGGAAGCCCTAGGTAATGTATGGAAGAGGAGTATAGAATATTTGTGTACATCTCTCCAGTACCAGTCAACGTTGGAGCAACCAAAAGTTATGCACCATTGCAAACTAGATAAAGGAATTTACATTACAAGAAGTGGTTCAGGCAGTAGCAGGTTGTATGAGTGAAATGGCAGATGAATTTAGCAACGAATAAACATATTTTTAGATTTTCTGTTCTTAATTCAAAACAAAACAAACATACTGTGAGTGTTGTATGCTTAAGGGATTGTGCCTAATGCAGTATTTTCTGTCCTTTGCAGAGAAGCTATATAGCAGATAAAATGCTGGACCTTTGGAAGCTCTCTGTTGAAAGTGCCTTTTAGCTACATCTGTTGTTTGGCAAATAGAATTAAACTTCCAAATGCATTTTATACAGAATTCCAAATAGTCTTCATACAGCAAGGTTACTACTTGGAAGTTTCTTTTGCACACAATTACATGGAAATGGTTTGGAGAGGCTTTTTTTTAACACTTTATAAGGAAAAAAATCAGGTTGTAGTATGTGGGGCTTTACTATTTGGAACATATTTTTAGAAGTTAAAAGCAAAATGGTTTAACACTATAACAGTGCTACTAGTTTTTTCCCCTTCTACTTCTGCAGTCTCGAGCTGACATTTTGTCAATCAGATAAGGAAACGTATCTAGGTCATGAAACTAATCAAAAACATTAGGTTTATGGTTGCAACCTTTACAGCAGCTATTGTGAATTCAGAGGAGGTTTGAAAACCTTCAAAGCAGCCTTCTACACTGGCTTTCAAGTAGTGGTTTCAAATCAAGGAACAACAATTTCCTGACTGAATCATCAAACTAGGTATTGGGACTAGCATTATGCCTTCAGGCAAATTATAGACCAATTTTCAGGTGTGGCGCATTTCTGTAACTCCCATTTATTTCAAGTGCAGGTACAAGAGCTCAGCACCTCTGAAAATTGTTTTTAAACCCTTTTAGGAATATCTTCCTTACAGATATATTGGAAAGCTGTTTTAATGTTTGTAATACATTTTCAAATGCTTAGTAAGAATATATTACAGAACATTACTGTAGTCATTACTACAAGTGCCTCATTGAAACAGTCTTGTTTTTTTGCTCATCTCAGTGCAGTACAGCTCAAATTACCTTAAAAAAATCCCACAACAATTAAACCTTACAGTTCTGTAGACAGGACAGAGCAAGAGACAGAAGGCTTATGCGGTGGATTCCAAGTGGTCTGCCACTGCACACTGCTTTTAGGATGGAAGCTGAAGGGTGGAAGATCATCACCAAAAGGTGGAGAGCAAATGGTGGCAGAAGCAGGACCTGACAATCACATGGGTTCCCTATACTTTAGAAGATCCCTGCTGAAAGGATCCAGAAGACATTGTAAGAAAATAGGAATATTAGCCTCGCTTTTGATAATATTAAGGAGCCAGACAGAGGCCAGAACTCGGTGGGCTTGCAGAGCTGATCAAGAAAGTAGCCAGAAAAATCAGTCTTGACTCTTTGTCATGGATTGTGTTGGGTAACAGAGGTCTCATACCTCTTGGTTTACAGGTGTAGGTGGGTTTATTTGTGCTGCATGGTATTTGTCTTTAGGAAAATAAATGACATAATATGTAAATAAGAGAAGAAATAACAGTAGCTGGAGAGACCAGTGAAATTCAGAACCTATTCATCAGTGTTTGGAGATAGATGCAGAACAAAGGGTTAATTTTCAAACATGATTTATTTAGAATCTTAAGATCTATTAAAGGACAGTGAGGCTAAAAATTACCAATAAATGTGTCAAATGAAATAATTAGAATAAATCCATAAAATCCACGGATAAAGAGAAGTTAGTAAAAGTGGTCAGCACTCAGCAGACCAGTACCTACTGGTTCCCTAATGAAGGTGATCTTGAATCAAACCAGTGAAACGAAGAAATTAACTCAACAGTCAGAATGCAATTTAACTGTTATGCAGGTATTCTTTATTAGCAGCGCTGGGGTCGCCCTGGGGATTCTCCACTATAAGCACTCCCACCAACTAGCAAGGGACATCAGTTTACATACACACAAATCATACATATTCATTAGATTTCCTGGAAAGGGGTGTCTTATGATAATGAGTTCCCGGAATTCATTTATATAGTGTGAGCATGAGTAGTAGAAATAGGGTGAGGGTCTTCAGTAGTCGAGGGAAGTACGTGGTCTTCTTCACGGTGTCTGCTTTTTCCAGAGCATGCCCTATGAAGTAAAGTCCAGGTGTCTTCTTCCTAAATCGGTGAGATCATCCTCGATGGTATCTCTGCGTCCTTTTGTTCGAGTTCCCCTTTCTTAGTTTGCCCAAGTGCCCATTGCAGGCTTTGAGTCTGCTATCAGTGAGTTGTACTGGGAGCATTTTACTTTTGTCTAGACAGACAAAGAGGCCCAGGGAAAACAGTTAAGGAGTCATTGGGAAACAAACACAAGCAAAACTTTCATGCATCACAGTTTAATCTTAATCAGAAGTTACATTGGTTTGAGCCCTTTCACCAGATTTTACTGGAAACCTCAAGAATGTTACAAATGTCACTTCATGCTGCAGTAATTAGACCAAGGTCATTTGTAAATGTGTTCAACTAAGGGTGGGCATATGCACCAGACTGGTGAATTAAGCAAAAGGATGGAGCAAAAGGAGAATTGCTCTTTTTCCTGTTGCTACCTTTTTCTGCATGAAAACGGCAGATGATTTTTGCATCCTCCCATTGCTAGCTTATCCAGCCCACTCTGCAGGATTTACTTGCCAGGAGGAAAACAGTTGTAAATTCATTTGGCCACTGTATTTGTTTTGTTTTCTTTTGTTTTATATTCTTGCTGATTTGCAAAGTCTAGTCTCAGTTGACTGAGTTACGAGCTGTTTGCCCAACAGGGCCTTTGTTCCGGTCTGGGCTTTTCCGAACTGGAAAAACCTGTTCGCGTGTTCTTTTTTTTTTAATCTTCCTTTCCCATTGGCAGCTGCAGCTTGTACACATGCAGACAAGGTGGTGCCTACCTTTCATGTGGAAAGCTGCCTTACAAAAACTGAGGTTGCTCTTTCCATTATCCTAGAGCTTTTCTAGCCATCTGAAGGCTTTGGTGGATGCTCCAGGAGTTAAACTCCATTTGTGCTCCACGAAATGTGTTTAGGTCATAATTTCATTTTTCTTCAAGCAAAGGGAGCGTGGTTCCAGTCCAGCCTTTTAAACAATATTTTGTAGACTCTGTGAGATCTGCAGAAAGCAGCTTTGGTGTGCGATGTAGCTTTTTTTGGACATAGAAGCTTGTCTGCTTTTGCAGCAGTGGCACACGGTATAGTGTTAACATCTGTAAGACAGGAAAAACACTGAGGCAGCAAGTTAGTGTGAAAAGTGGACAAGTTGAGAAGAAACTTATTTTTCCATCTCATTTTCCTCTTGCTTTGTGCTGCTATTGGAACAAGAATGGGTCAACTGTGTGGACGATGCATGCAGCTGCTGCGGGACTTCGTGGCCTTTGTTCAGAGGATGTCCTCCGACTTGATGCATGGCATCAAGGAATGCCTAACTCTTATAAGCAAATGCTCCTGCTTAAAACAAAACAGATCTAAATCCAGACAACTGTACAAGCCCATCCTGCAGCCTCATGAGAGGGTGACAGCACAGGAGTTTCTGCAGCATATTGAAACAGGTAAGAGGGGCTTGGTTTTTTCTCTGAAGGGTTGTGAAAGAACAAGGAGATGGATTTTGTGGGTTGAAAACAGATTGCTGGCTGAACTGCTCTGGCATGGCATGGAGCAGCTTGGTGATGTTGTAGGAAAGGCCAGAGCTACAGAGCATCTTCTTCGTGTATGGAACACCCAGGGCTCAAGTGGCGTAACAGTTGGATTTAGATTGGTCAGTCACTTTCTTACTCTGCCACCATTGTTAATACATAACCCATGTAAATATGTTTCATAAAAGTGAGTTGTTCTAGTAATTGAAGTTAATTTTTCGAAGTCACTCTAGGTGATAAAGCTGGAAACAGGCTGTACCAACACTGGGTGCTACATGAGTGCCAAGCTGTGAGCAGGCAAATCACCCTGTGGTCCTGGCTGAGTTGTGCACATCCATGTTGGCTGGCTGCAGAACACCTGGACTTGTACTGGGGGTGTCTGCATGGGGAAGGTCGAAATCACCCTGGGACAAGCGTCATTGGGCTCCCAGGATTCCAAGAAACTGGTCTGCCTAAGTGCTTTTGTGCATACATTTTAGACACAAGGCTTGAACACAATCATGGGATTCTGCATGAATCAAAGTAGATCCATAACTCTTCATGTATCTCCTCTGCTTTACAGGCTACCTGCCTAATTCCCCCATTAATCTACTTGTGATGTCCTCTCTATCCTGTCATAGGACACAACTATATCAATAGGAAAACTTATTTTATTTCACTCCTGCAGTCATAGAATATCATCTTGGATGAGTGTGTTTTGTCAGTTGTCCAACCTTAAAACATTCGTTGTCTCAAGCTTAGGCAGGGGCCATTGCTTGTTTCATTTTGCTTTGTCTCACAGCTAATCGGGCATACTGCTTTAAGTTTAACAACTTTGGGCTAAAGCTACTACACAAAATGGTATGGCTTTCTACTTTCATTTACGTGAAGGGTGTGGAACACAAACTACTATTTCTTCATTTGCCTTTTTTGGGACATAAAACCATCTTCTGAGTGGGACCAAGAGAGACATTTTTCCTTGGTGTGACACAGTTAATGCTGTTTGAAATGGTCTGTCATGGAACAACCTTTGGAATAATTGCTCTGACGCTGGTTGTTGGGAACATGTGTGAATTAGCCTCAACTGGTATTAGCTGGTGTCATTGCCCTGTGAATGTGGGGGGTCCTCTGATGCTGATACGGTTCACTAACTGTTGCACATTAGGCACTGGCTAAATCCTGAAGTCCATATCCAGAATAGGACCGGATCTTTCAGACTGATGTATGGTGGACATCTTCCAGGGCTGAACTTGTTCTTCCAAATGCTAGCATACTCCTGACTGTATAAGAGACTGTCTTGGCAGGATCCCAGCACAGTTGACAGATCAAGTGCAATGAAGGGATGGTCTGGAAAAAATGGTGAGGCTAGAACGGCCCTTTGCAGTACCCACTGGTACTTTCTGAAAAGACTAAGTGTAGGTTTTCTTGAGAAATGCTTTCCTCTAAGAGGGGTCTTCAAAAGTCTGGTCGGTCTTGGATCCTGAGTAGCTGGGGTACAGCAGCAGGGAGCCTAGAGCCTCTGTGACAGCAGTATACAGATGACAACGTGTGCTCTCAGGGAGGTCCCAATGTCTGTGATAGGACATACACAGCACACAGGAAGAAGAACCAAGGTTGATTCTCTGAGTGGCCAAATCCTGCTGCCAGGACGGGTGGAGGAAAGGAAGCCTCACAAAGAAAACCAAGACACAACCCTCCTACTACTTTAGCACTTACCTGTGTATTTTATTCCAAGATGAAGCAAGCCAATCCTCAGTTTTGGATAGATGATAATAATCAGGGAGCCAATATCTGGACAATTTGGGTTCAAGAAGAGAATTCATGGTTGATCATCATACTCAGCTGTTACCTAGGGCAGCAAATGCTTGATATTATAAGCAGATGAAGATTTTGAGTGGCTTTTGCTTTATCACTCTCCCAGACAAAAATGCACAGATATGTGGGAGACTTAGATAGTCAGTGTTTAAGGAACAGAATTAAGCTACATTAAGAGATTTTTTTTTTCCTGCACACACTGGCTAGTCCTTCCCTGTATATTGTTAATTATTAAACAAAATTGGTCTTTATATGAAGCACCTGTTCTGTGAAGCCCCCTTACCTAAGCCTGAAGGAGTTTGCTACTCGACAGGTCAGCAGCTTCTGATGGCTTGAGATACTGGCTGAGTTTTGCACTGAGGCATGAAAGCTCACACCCCTCACATGCTTCGCATCTCATTTTCCTATGGGATGTAAAGTAGCTAGATCTTGTTCATAGAGATATGTCAGTCTTTAATGCACTGCTTTAATCTACTATCTGAAAATATCTTTTGTGCTGCACCAGTCAATTTATATTACCTTACCTTTTCAACAGTTTATACTATTGAGCATTGGTTCAATAGCCCTACTTTTTGCTCTCTGCTGCTCCATTCCAGACATTATAAGTGCATTTTACAGTGACTTACAGAAGTCATGCATGACTGCTGTTGCTTGATGGCTATTGCTGAACATCTGTTTTATTCATAGGGGAATTATCATACTCGAGAACAGGTAGACTCATGCTAGAAATTTGAGCCTGAGGCAAGCCCATTTGCAATCCATGTTGCTATTCCCTGAAATCCTTTATTGTAATGCACGGGACAGGAAACAGTGAACTTAAAAGGTAGTAAATTAGAAATAAATATTCTTTCTATAGCTCATAACTAAGAACACCATGTTCAGTAGATGTGTTATAACAAAGATCTTCTATGATTCAGGAAAAGAGAAAGATTTTTATGAAGAACAAGAACACCTGCATTTATATTGGATAGCATAAAAGTGTCTAAAGGTTATAATTTATCTTGCTTCCAATCACTAGCTTTGTGAGCTTCACAAGAGGCGTTGCCAAAGACAGGTTATTCCAGAGTCATTTATTGCTTCTCCTCATGGAAACATGAATAAGAATAGCTCGGCTCTATGGAGTTGTTGCAATACAAAAATCCTTATGTGTTTGATTGTCTGCAAATTTTAATTTCTTTTTGTAATCTAACCCTCTTCAGGTGTAATTGAGTTTGTACTGTCATTGTACATCTTTAGGTTTTGAAATGTCACCACCTGGAAAAGACCCTCTGGAAGCCTTGAGGACCTTAGCCTTTTCAGAAAATGCAGGTTTACAGCAGTCTGCTGCCCTCTATTACTTGCATATGAGTCAGCACAGTAAGTTATCTCAGTGCAGTAGAAAAATGTCACATAATTATAAACAAAAGTATTATTTCCAACTGTGAAACTCCATTTGATTCATTAATCAAAGTTCTTTTTTTTCTTTCATGCTGTGTTGTTTGCTAAGGAAAATGGAAATGCTGTCATTGTCATGTGGTCAAAGTCATTCTGGGTTTTGCTATGAGGAGATACCTCTCATGATTATAAAAGACTAATTTATGTAATACTTCTGTAAAATTCAGAAGAACCTGAAGTCATTAGATGCAATGTATACTGAATCTCCTGAGACCAGCACAGTCAAAATACAGTGAAAGGAAATAGACATAGTGCTCATTTAAAGTTTTATATTATATAATTTTTGGAAGAGGACAAAACTTTAGAGCCCAGATTGTAGTGGAAATTTATAAAGGAAGAACTTTATAAAGTTCTTCTTTGTCCCACCAATTCTGTGAGAGCACTTGGCTCCTATGTAATTTGTAAATGGTTAGAAGGCAGTCTGGATATGCCAAATAAAATTCCAGCAAGAATTTGGGTCCTACAAAAAGGTAGAAATACCAGCAACAAGCAAGCTGGGATTTATTTATTTGCTTGTTTTAAATTTACTTTAAAGAGAATATTCTGGCACTTGTCTTGATAACTTTATCCCATATATTTTTTTCTGGATAAAAAGTGCAGATAGCCACAACACAAGGACCTGCTGTGAGGCAGAATGACTTGTTTGGTAGTGAGGCATATTGTTTCCCTTCCCATGAAGTACTTGATTATACAAAACCTTTTCAGGAAACTTGCCTTGTTTTGCTAGTAGCAATGGAATATAAATGAAGGTGAATACAACTCAGCCTATGTGTGGTAGCACCTGAGGCTTAAAACCAACAAGAGAAAAATGTGTCTGCGGTGAATGATGAGACTTCTGAATATTTCCTCTCATTCCTGCAGTGAACATCCCCCTGCCTGTGGAGCATCTGGAACCCTTCTATGCCTTACTGCGGTCTGCTGACCTGGAGGTGCAGCAGATGTCTTCCTTGTCCCTTGTCAACTTCTTGCTGGAAGGACATAGTGAGTAATTAACAATACAACTCTCTTCAGGTGAAAAAGTATCTCTTCAGCCAGACTCAGACAGAAGGAGGGTCCATCCACACACCCAGGTCTACACAAATCCAAATTCCATTTTTGTGTTCCTGGTAGGACAGGTGTGAGTCTGTTTTTGACTGCAAGCCATATAGATTCTGGTGGCACCAGGATATAGCAGATCCCTCTAGCTAAATTATATCATGTGGTAAGAGATCTTGGATCTGTGTACAAAAGCTGATAAATTCCAAGATGGGTGTGGGAACAGCTATACTATTCTCTTTCTTGGATGGAGAGCTCACCACTTACCCTTTCAAGCAACAGATACAACTCTTAGAAATAAGAGACAGTGCTCATTTTCTTGTTATTTATTAACTAGACATTGGTCCTAAATTGCTTGCAGATTTTAAAAAAATGTTTAATAGAATTCACTTTCTTCTGTAGCTAATAGGGCAAATGAAATTGAGATAGGATCTGGGAGCTGCAGATGAAAAGCTTCCCAATAAACTATGTTGATAGACAGGGCATGAACACCCCACACCTCATCAATTGAGTCCTTATTACATCTACTACTGCGCTCCCTGGCACCTGGGCCACAACAGGTATTCCATTAGGCTATCCCATAACAGCAGAAGACAGGGTCAGTCTTCAATGAAGCTTGCTTTTTTCTTTTATTTTTTTAAGGATCTTGCTGCAGATACTATTATGTCACTATTTACAAGTGAAAAATAATCTTTAAAGTGTAGACTTCAGAAGAAAAAGGCGGGGGGGGAACTGAGTAAATTGTGAACCTATTGGAAAGTTGCAGTTCTACTTTCCAAAAGGAACGTTATGTTTGAAAACAGAATTGCAAGTAGAAATATTTGGGACCTTCTGAAATAGAACTTCTGAACATCTCTTACACTCTTTCATGAGTTGAAGAGGAATCAAGCAAACCAAGCTAGGGACTGTGAGTGTCTTTCAGGCTGTTTCCATCCTAGGTCTATTTTGCATAATTATAATATAGACCCCCAAAGCAGTCAAAGGAAGATATAATCTCTTCACAAAGCCATTAACTGTTTGCTTTTGTGTTTGTCCATTTTTTCTGAATTTATGAATAGTTGACAAAGAATTAGTTGTCCAAATGGGTTTACTTGAGCCAATTCTGGATCTGCTTGAGTCAGAGGATCCCACTGTCCAGTGTAATTCCTGTGCCTGCACCATGACTTTGGCTGTTTCAGGTGAGTGTGCTGGTTTTTTCCCTTTATCCTCTGCAGTGAATTTGTTCAATTCTTACTTCATATTTCAAGGTGAAACAACCTATTTGCAATTGGTTTAAGAGTCATAAGGTGCAACAGCAAGTTTTGGTATTCCCACGTCATTAATTCAACTTCTTGAGATTCTAGTTAAGATCTTTTTCTCAGTGTTTATGACCTTCATTCTCTTATAATTACAAACCTTCTTCTGATTTCTAACCTAAATATATTCATGACCAGCTTATCTTAATTAGTGTCTACTTTGGCTTTTGCTTAAGTAGTTCTGCCTCTGATGTCTGTGCTGATGAGGCTTCTTCATTTTACTAGACTGAAAAAGCCAAGCTCATGTAAGACTCCTCTTGTAAGTGAGGCTCTCCATTCATCTTCATATCCCTTCTGGGTGTAAATGATATGTTCCAGAAATGGAACGTAGCAATTGCATCTGCTGTTTTGTGATACCACAGACCTCAGGCGCAGTTACAGACCTCAGTTACAGTCCCAAGATGTACATAAATGCTGCAGGAGTTCCATTTTGAATTAATCTCTTCTGAAAGAGAGATCACCAGAAATGTGCAGTATTTCATCTGGGGTCTCACCTGTGTCTTTTATTGTGGCATCCAGGGACATCTATTTTGTGGTACACTCATTATAACACTTGCTTTTTTTGTGATTGCATCATGGTGATATTGTCATCCTACAGCTAATTTAATCACATAGTCTTTCTCCTCATCTGCTGCTGTTTCTGGTAGACACCTATTAATTAAGGGTTTGCAAAAAATGTTTGCAAGTGCATGTTCATACATTTTGTGCTATAAGGTTTCCTTCTGTTTCTTGTTGTTTCAGTCTTCTAACTTGTCTGTTATTTGTAAAATATTCCAGTCCTCCACATTTGACAGTGCTGCACTCACACCTTTGTATTAACTTTCCAGTTCAAAACCAACTACAGACCAGTCTTTGTGAAATTTCACTTGTAGCCTCCTTCCAGCTGGTCATTCCCATTCAGCAAAACTTGCTGCCAGCTTGCTTTTAGTCAGTTCCCTATCCATCATGTGCTACTTGCATTTTTCACCAACTTCTCTTGCTTCACTATACATATTTCATATCATGATACAGATATTTTTCTGACATCCAGGCAGATAAGCTCAACCACAGGTTATAAGGTTAGTCTGGCTTGTTCTACCTTTTGCAGACTATGTAATTCTACTCTATAAATTGTGTAAAGGCCTGTATAAAAAGCCACGAATAACATTTATTTCCCTTCCTGCAGTGTTCATTCCACCAGCTCCCTTCTCCAGTATGGGAAGTTGCAATCAGATCTCCCAGAAGGCTGAGAAAAGCATGGTGAAAGTGTTACTTTCTCATTTAAGTATTTATGTTGTGAAGGAGGAGTGTATAAGCAGGTTCCAACTACCTGAAAGTGCGGATTTGCATTTTATCCCACCTTTTTTATTTGCAGGTTTTTAAACACTTTCCTGTTTGAAACTTATTTTTAAGCATTATCTATTACTAGGATCAGGTTAAGAAATCTATATACTATGTTACTTTGTGTGGATTGCAAATCGCCTCTTTAAATGTCTCAATTAGGCATGGCATTGCTAAAATTTTAGATACCTGGCACGAGAAGAGCTTTCTTTGTGTGTAGTCAGTGAAGATCTACACAGAGATATCCCTTCACCTGTTTTAAGCAGCCCGCAGAGGAAGTGACTTGTTTGGGGACCTAAGGATGTTTCTTAGTCCTGAAGGCACTCTTACCCTTCTAGGTGTCTCTGTCTCTAACCCAGAGTATAGGGAACCCTAAGCCACTCCAGATCCAATCCACCTTAATTCTCTGTTCAGCATGGTCACCTAATGCCTTTGCACGCTCCCTTAAGTGCCAGCGTACTTCTGAGAACAAATACTTCAAATTCAGCACTCAAGGAGCTTGCAAACTAGCTAGGAAGGCATCTGCTGAACATAGAGGTAGGCAGTCCTGCAAAGCTGGGTTGCTGCCTGGGATCTGATCAGTGTTGAGGATCTCTGTCCCACTTTAACTAGGATTTAGATGGACTGGATCCATTTATTTCTATTTCAGACTATATTTAGATACCACAGCAATGAGACTAAAGCAAGAGGCAATTCTCTAGAGTTTATTTTAATTTTAACTCACAGACTCTGATATCCTGTTCAGTCGTGTCCTTCAGGTAAGAAAAACATGCTTCAGAATGGTTTAAAAAGATAAATACGGAAGCCCAATCAAATTAGGATATCCTTAGATAGCTTTAAGGTGACTAAAATTCTAAATCCAAGAGTGGTAATGTCTTAATTCTGCTACAATGAGCATTCAAGACTGAGTGAAGCTGTTTAACAGTGTGACTGCAAGTTATACATAAGTTGGGTTGTCTGATACTTACTGCTTCAATAGATAGCCAAAAATAAAAACAGCAAACAAACCTATTCAGATGAAAAGGAAGTGAAGGTCAGTTTGTTCCGACACTAGCATTTGTCCACACAGCAAAAGGACACATGCACATTTTCAGTTATCTGCAGCTTTTCATTCTGTGAGTGAAAGTTACCAGTTCTGGGATAAGAACTCTTCTCAAAGTACATAGGAACAGAACTAAATGCTCACAGCAAGGGTTTAGGGAGGCCTGAACATCTGCATTAAGCTAAACAAGGAGGATGCACTGAGTGTAGAGCACGTTCAAAGTTGTACAGACAGGAGAATTTTCGACCACACAAATGGCAGAGAGTGGAAAAATATAATTTATAAATACAGGTTTCAAGGTGAGTTATTCAAACCCAGCTTGAATAGCTGTTATCGATTTTCTCATTTTAGAGGAGCATCTGAATACATGGTTCCCTTCTAAAAGCACTTCAAGAGGCATCAGTGGTTGCAGTGGCATCAGTGGAGAGACTGTATTACTTAGATAAATAGGTGGTTCAGGAGAGAAACATAACCTAGCCTGCCACATCTCTTAGAGAGATGATAGTACAGTTACACATCTTGGTGAGATAGATTTCTCCACCCATTCTGTCATATGTTGACAAAACAGATAGTGTTCAGCCGCATTATCTGACCAAAACTAGAACGAGAATGGAGAGAAGGATAAGGGAAAATTACATATGTAAGAATGAATCCAGCAAACCCACAATAATGGGCACTAACAGGCTGCAGAGGGGAACTTGTCAGCTAGTGAATAACCCAAGGGAAAAGAAAAAAACCAAATATTTTGGTCACAGAGGTTTCCATCATGTGGGTACCTGTTGTGGTCTCTCCACTCTCTTGTGATGAGAACAGGTGCTCCAGTCCTTCTGGGCAGGAGTGGGGTGCCTGGGTCTCCATGTGCCACTGCCTTCCAAAGCAGGCTGTAAGTGCTCATCCTGCCACTGTAGGCTTCCAGTGTTGACCACCACCTCTGAGCCCTCGGGCAGAAAAATTGTTTAAGCTGTCATGGATGTGAAGCCAAGACAGTTATGTTTCTTTAAAGAAGAAAAACCTCTGAAGCACCCAATGGCTCATATTCTGTCATGGCCAGTGCTTTCTTCAGAAGATCTTCAGACTGAAAATGCACCCCTGAGAAGCTCTCTCACAAGAGGGTATAGGATTCCCCTTCCCTGCCCTAGAAGGGAAAGAGGAAGAAAGAATTTGTCCAAGTTTTATCTAAATGTTTGTAATCCCCTTGGTTCTCTTCCACATGCACAAACATTCATGGAGTGCATTGTGTGAAAGAATGAAGTGGCAATATCTGAACTCTTAATCTTTTTACCTCTCTTTACTCCACTAATGAGAGTTTACATCACACCACACTAGATTCCATCAGTTGGAGCCTGTCACGGTTTAACCCCAGCCAGCAACTAAGCACCACACAGCTACTTGCTCACTCCTCTTCCCCACCCAGTGGGACAGGGAAAAGAATCGAAAAAAAAAAAACCAACAAACAAAACTCATTGGTTGAGATAAGAATGGTTTAATAATCAAAATAAAACAATATAATAATTGTGATGAAAAACTATTTTTTTTTTTTTTAAGAGAGAAATAAAACCCAAGAAAAGACAAGTGATGCACAATGCAATTGCTCACTATCCATAGACTGATGCCTGAGCAGTGATCCATCCTCCAGCCAACTTCCCCCCACCCCCAGTTTATATAGCGAGCATGATGTTCCCTGGTATGGAATATCCCTTTGGCTAGTTCAGGTCAGCTGTCAGTACAGCTTCTTGTACAACTGCTTGCTGGCAGAGCATGGGAAACTGAAAAATCCTTAGCTTAGGATAAGCGCTATTTAGCAACATCTACATCAGTGTCTTATCAACATTTTTCTCACACTAAATCCAAAACACAGCACTGTACCAGCTACTAGGAAGAAAATTAACTCTATCCCAGCTGAAACCAGAACAGAGCCACACAAAAGAATTTCTGCTTCTGCTGAGGGAAACAAAAGAACAAGATGAAGGCAGATTAGATTGGAGAAAGGCTTGTTTACAGAAGTGACCAGAATATTTCACCAGAATATCCCATGTGTAAAAGCTATTTTAAAATACATTACTCTTTCCAGAACAATTATTTTGTTCAAAAATTAGAGTTTTTTTTCTTTTCAGAATAAAAGATATTTCCTTGAGTATAAAATACTCATATTTCTTGCTTTCTTCTTCATGTTTCTCTCAGCAAACTTCTTGAAACTAGCCATTGTTTAAACCGTCTAGAAATGTACATAAATGAACCAATAGTCAATTAACACTCCTGTGGTCTTTAGTAGCAGTTTGACTCATATAAACAATAGAAGATGCAGACTATGGCCTTTGCTTTTTCCTTTAGTAAAATAATCTGTAGAGTACTATAGTATTAAGAGAATTTTTCATCAGTCTAATTCCTATTTATATAAGCTTTATGAGCTTCAAAAAACACCACTGTCAACACCTTATTTTTTCAAAATTATGCCACTAGAACACTTATAAGATAGAAATACAGATAATGTATAGCTATAAATAAGACAGTAGGTGCGAGAGGACCCTAGCTGACTCAGTGTGGCAGCAGGTTATTTTTACAAATGGTTTGATGGCCTCATGGTAGAGGGGTAGGGAAGAACATAATAGAAAGATTCTCTTTCATACAGTGCAGCTGAGGCTACCTTCACTAAGTCCAAAACAAAAGGAGTAGAACTAAAAGCAGATTTTTTAAAAGAATGGTATTACATTTCATACCATAGTATAACTTTATCATATGTAGTATACTTACATACACAGTATATAAATATGTTTTATAGTATTTTATATAGTTAATTTTATAGCATTATTTAAATATTATAGTGGGTTTTTTTTCCCCCAGTTTTTCATTCAAGAGTCTCGAGGGACTCTGCAGATCTTTTTTGAATTGTCCTTATTCTCCAGGATATTTAATACAACTGTACAACTTAATACACTCCTATGTAAGGAAGCATCACCACTTCAGAGAAGAAGCATCTTTTCAAATTCCAATAGTTGAGTCAAATTCTGTCTTTAAAAACTTCTTCATTGTTTAGCTGTCAAAGGACTGACACAGGCACATTCAAAGTGAGAAACCAGCCCTGAATATACCCTGCTAAATTAATTCCGTCTTAATTTCAGGTAATTATGTAGTTTTTGGTTGGCACGCTGTGAATAGCTTAATCAGACATACCAGGGGTACAAGGCAAGTACGACACCTTGCTAACCTGTTTAAAGAAACTTACGGTTCTTTTACTTCAATCATCCCAGTCACAAAAAAGTGCACTGAACCAGCTGTGATCTTTGGCTAATCCAGAAGTCTTGAGTTAGTTTCCCATTGAGCTCTTGTAATTTTTAACAGATTTCTTTGAGTATTTCTTTGAGCAAAGAAATTTTGATATATACAAAAGAATCAGAGAAGCTAACACCAAAGACATCTAATCCTTCTAGTTGTCCTGCTCCTGGCTCACAGTAAGATGGCAATGTCTTCCTTCCTTCCTTCTTCCTCTTTCTCTTTCGCCCTCCCCCCCTCTCTCTCTCTCTCTTGTTCTCTCTTTTTCTCATTCTCTCATTCTTACTCTCATTCTTTTTTCCAGAGTCCAACCGAGAAGCTATTGGTGCTGCTCAAGGAGTTACACCCCTACTGTCCCTTGCCAATTCCTACGATCCTAGGGTCCAACAAAATGCAGTTGGTGCTATTCTGAACCTCACACAATCAGGTACTTTCTCACTAATGTTTTATCTAAAGTTGCTGATAGAAAAATTTCTTACTAATAGAGGAGTAATTCAAAATGGTTAAGGCAAGAATAAAAGCTTATCTGAGCAACAAAATTTTCCTTTGCATATGGCATTCATGTTGATACATAGGCTGATGATTTAAGTTTGGCCTCTCTTTAGGTAATACAGACCCTTTTTTTGCCTAGTACCAAAATAGAAAGGCTTGATTTTCAACCCTTAGGTTATGTACAAGCACTCAAATTATCAGTCAAATAGGAAAAAAAAATGTTAAAGTGACTTGGTCTAGAAAGTTAGTAGCACATTTGGTGATACTTTGAGGCAATCTCAGAAGCTTATTCAACAAGGTCAAGCTCTAGGAACATAGACTTAGAGCTCTAACTTGCTGTTGGAAGATGGAAAATGTAACTATTATGGGCCAAGCATTACAGGCTCCTGGGATATTTGCCATCAGCTTCAGCAAAAGCAGCATTTGATCCTATGAAATAATATGTGCATTAGCATACATTAACTGAAATAAACCAGCATTAAATCTCACCTATCTAGATGATACCATTATCCCACACAGCTAAACGTTATAGGTGTGAGTAACATCTCTTATCTCTATATGGTGGAAGGGAATGGTTGGTAAGAACTTCTACAGTTGGCTGTTACACTTCTCTTATTATTCAGAATTTTTATAAGAATTTGGTTTTTTAAATACAGAAATCATGGTGAATATCATAACTGAGGTTTTTCAGATCCTCAGAATAGGCTGTAACATAAAACCAGCAAAGGCTTAATGGATCAGACAGCCTGCTAGTCATTTTGCTGAAATGTCTGCATACTGCTATATTGCATATGCTCTAAATTATATACTCTCCAGTCACACTGATTGGCATACATTTGGACAACATCACCACTCTCTAGAATCCAATGATTGTGCATATTCCTTTTGAATGGTGCCTCCAGATAAGAGGGAGAGGAAGGGGAAAAACACACTAACAGCACTTTTTTTTTTTTTTTTAAATGTCAGAGAAAATCCAACAGGTCCTATGCAAGGAAGGAGCCGTACCAGTTCTTGCCTTGCTGCTGGAATCTCCTGACCCAGAAGTGCAGGTATGGCTCAAACAGGTCAGATTTTTAAACGCTTAACAGCGTGACTGTAAGGAGAGCACAAGCCACAGCATGTATAAATGAAAAGGTGGAGAGGGGTGTAGGTTCCTCTGGAGAAGCAGGGAAACATGTGAGAGCATCTTGGTGAAACTCAGCTCAGTCAGATAATGTATATTCAAAACTCTCAGTTTGTTTAGCTCCACAGGAGAAAGTTTATGACGCAGAAGTGCATCTGCCAGCACACAGTAACACATGCACGCAGTTATTATGCGGTTACCTTCTTGTGTCTTTCAGATCATCAGACACATTGCAGATAGGACTCTTTCTCTGTTTTCATTTGCATCCTAACTTTAATCTTCCACTCTAAGCAATTTTACTAAGAGTTCTGAGAAGGCATAACTTGCAAAGATTTTTTTTCTTCTTGTAAGTGTCTGGGAAATCTTCCTATTTCATGCCTGCCACAGACATCTCTTTGATTCCGCACACTTAACAGAGAGCTGGTCTTGGTTCAAAAGTATGCTGATGAAAAACTATGAATCAGAGTTGTAAACCTTAAAATCCACTAGTTCATTCATTCAGTCCTCTGAGTAGTACAGGATTGTTTTCTCCATCAGTTTTGTTATCTCTAGTCAGATTTCTTTTAAATGTCTGAAGGGATGGAGCCTCTGGAATTGCTTTCTGCAAACCGTTTCAGTGTTATCAGCTTTTTCTGACATTCATCTTAAATTTTCCTTCTCTGCAGTTCAACCTGTTTCTTCTAATTATATCTCCCTAGTAATACATACTCAAATATATATAATCCTCCCTGGTGTTAATGTTTAAATCCTTTGAAAATGATCTGGCACACTAGGGCAATGACTACATCCAGCTTGAGTAAATGAATGTAAACATATAATACGGGAGATGCAGATGACCTAACTTAGGTGGCAGCAGCAGTGTCATTGCAGCAGCACAGTACATTCCCAAATACCCAGGGTCCTAATGGGTTTGTACAACACACAGTGCCACAGCATGTTTGCTGTGGTAGCTATAGCAGATTGCATCACTTTTCCTGGAGGAAAAAAAGATGTGTGTTATCACATCTACTCGATAAAACACCCTTAAGATGAAAAAGCACTTTATTTTCATCAGCATTAAGTCTGAGCATTTCTCCAGTTTATTTTTATGCTCTTCAGCATGTCACCACTGTGACCTCCTCTCTCTACTTTTCTCTTGCTTCTCTGCAGTATTACAGCTGTGCTGCCCTAAGCAATGTGGCAGCCAATGTTCAGCACCATGAAGCCATGCTGAGACACGGCAACAGATTCCTGCTGCGCACACTCATCTCTCTCCTATCCTCTTCTGTGGACAAGGTAAAGATATAGGTTTCTCTTTGTGTAAAGGTTTAGCATCAGAGTAGAGCTATAAGCTTGGGCTTCCAGTTTCAGTCTAGCACAATTCTGGTCATCTACTGTACAGGTGCCTATGCAGCACCTTTCCCATGTGAAAAAATAACGTATATTAGAAGATACATAGGTTCTACAAGGTCATTGTATGGAGAAAGAGAAAGGAAATAATTAAAGTTTTTTCACAGCCCTGACCGCTTTCTTTAGACTAGGATGGCCTGTATTCTTTAAACTTGAAACTACATGTGTGAAGTGCTCTGTCCAGGCTCTCAACTATCTTTGATCACTGTGGCAGTGACAGAAAGTATCTGGAGCATCTATTATACTAATATTTTTTTTTCTTGGTATCTGTAACTTTGACTGTATGGCTTCAAAGAATAACATATTGAACATTTTGCTTTGTTGGGAACCACACCAAAGAAACTGCAGTAAGTCACAGTTCAGGATTTAAAGGGTGGAACCTTAAATTCTGTATAGGAGGGAGGGGAAAAAAAGGCAAAGCAAATGAGACAAATTTACTCCATTTTCCTATAACTTATCTGACATTTTAAAATAAATCAACATCTGAACCCTGTTGGCTTTTCCTCATCAACAAGAGAATGACTGATACTAGAGGAGGTTGAAAAAAATTCATCAAAACTTTGAAAAAACTCAACCCATGTCCCCAAATTTATTCTCTGAAAATAAATGTAATAGCTTTCTAGTGTTGTCACATTCATTTTGTATACAGTAGGCAAGAACATGCATTACTGAAAGCTCTCTTTTTTTCTCTCATTCTTTTTTTTTTTTTCTCTTTGGCACAAGCAGGTTTCAAGCCAGGCATGTGTTTGCCTAAGAAATTTGGCTACCAGTGGTAAGCAATATCTTGGAGATAAACAAACCACACTATTTCTTTTTTCTTTTTCTCTCTGTCTTTCAGAGTGAGCATAGTGGGCTGGGAACCTTTCATATTAAGAGCAAAGAGATACCCTCTTTTCTACATTTTATTTGGATGTTAAAGAAAGAGGGAGGTGCAGTGTATACATTAACTAAATCTGCCTCAGAACTCCCAGATAGTGAGGGGGAAGTATCTGGACATAGTGAGAGAGACAGCAGAGGCCTTCTTAGCACAGAGCCTTTGCAACTTAGTAAGTCTTTCTCCCTTCCATGTTTCTTAAGCATTAAATCTGATTAGGACAGAATGTCTCCTGAAATTGCTGCTTGAGTGGGGAAGGCGTGAATCTGTCTATCATTAAATATAATTTTCTCCCAAGCATTTGTCATCCTCTTAAAAAAATCCTAAAATAAAATGCTCAAGGTCCGTTTCTACAAGCGTACTCAGGAGATGAAAGCAGAGGACTGGCACACTCAACACTAGAGCCCTAGGGTTCAGGGTGGAGTTGTTCATCTAGAAAGCAATCACAGTTATAGTGGAGTTGGGAGTGAAGGAACTGCCGCACTGCTCCTTGGCAGCTGAAAACCCCTGGTCTGCTTGGCCTTTTAGGATTGCCACTCCATCTGCTGGCTGCTCTGGCATTGCCTTTTAAGTGCCCAAAAGGACTGGCTGAGGTGGCAGGGAGAAGTGGGGTATAAGGATCCAGCCAGGAGGGCTGATGTACCCTCTGGCTAACCATAACTCTGAAAGATAGGTGGTGCTTGGGAAGGACTTTCTGTCTGTGCAGCAGAAGCTCCCACCTTCTTACTGGGCCTTATGCCAATGAAGGACTCAGAAAATTCCCCTCATTTCTTCTTGCTGAGGTTCAGATACGAACTGAAGGGTGCCCAAACCTATGTTCTGCTCTCAAGCCTGTATTAATCCTGGCAAAAGGAGCCAGAATAAATGAGGGATTATTTTTATAACAAGATCCCCTCTAATTTCATCACTGAGGCACAGTCAGATGTTTGAGTTGGGGCCCAAATGCCTCCTCACAGTGCTCTGAAGCTCCCTGACCTTGGTCATTTTCCCAAACCAGTGGACATCCAGGCTGAGATGGTTGCTGAGGACATCCTACCCAAGCTGCTCTCTCTCCTGGCATCTGGCAGCAAGGACGTGCGTTGTGCCTCCATCGCTCTGCTCTGGATACTGTCCCAGCACCCGCACAACCAGGTAGGGGAGGTCATTTCCCAAGACCAGAGGGGAAAGAGCAGCTCTGGCTACCACCTGGGGAAATGCCCTTTTATGGAAAAACTGCATATAAAATGCATTTTGAGAATGACCACTAGGCTCTGTGAGATCTCCCAACCCTTCTCTCTCCCCCCCAGAATAATGAGGTTTTGTCAGCTCTATCTGCACTGTCACTTAACTACCGGAGAAATGTATTTTTTGTGGTGAGTGGGATCCAAAGGATCCTGCAGTTAATCAGATTGCCTGTAAGGGGGCCCAAGGGAGGGTAGGCGGGCGGAGACAGGTGTCAGATTTCTTGGATGTGTGGATACTGCCCTGCACTTCCTGCAACTCCCTGTGGTCCCCTCAGTCCAGAGACTGTAGGTCTCCAGATGGGTGTACAAGGGGCAGGACACACACGTACACCTTGAGAGACTGCAACCATGGGCACAGCCGAGGAAGTTAGTCCTTGGCTACAGAGCTTACACACACACTGAGAAACAGAGAAACTAAGTTAGAGCATGCATTTAAAGTGCAAAGTAAAGTGCAAAAATACATCACTTCCCTAAATGGACAGTTATTAAAAGTATATTTGCATAAATCTAGCATGTTTTGAATTAGGATCAAGATAGCAAGGGGGACAAATACAATTTGAAATCCTGTCTATCTTTAGCTAATTCACTAGGACTTTACTGTGTCTCCACACGTCCTTAGTTACAGAATGATTCTTTTGCCCACGTTCAGGGTTAACACCACCATTAACAGTGCAACGCTATGCAAATACATGAAGTCTGACTAGAAATAAATACAGCAAATAAACAAAACAGACACTCCTGCTGTACTTTCATCCTCCACATAAAACAAAAAAAATCAGTAAGTAGCAACTGACAAATTATTATTATTTTTAAATGTACTTTTCCTTTACAGTAATTAAAGACATCTTTAGGATCATGGATATGAAAAGGTTTTGATAAGTGTCTTAAGCTAACAATAGCCTTTCAAGAGAGTCAGAGTTTGGGCATATAAAGCAAAAAAATTGTGAGAACCTTTCCTGCCACACTGGTTTAAGCAGTAGTGACAGACTGAGTAACTGCAGCTAGGCTTAGGTGCTTCTTGAGGCTGAAACACATTCAATGTGATTTGAAATTTCCTCCGGGTATTGGAAGCCTGGTGCCTTACACCTCAGCTGCACGTACACAGCACAGCGTGAACCACATTGCACCTACTCTAACTCCAGGACATGATGGAAAAAACGGGTAAGCTCAACGCCTGGGAAGCAGCAAGTAGAGCACAGAGCTTCTCAGAGGCACTGTGGCTTTGTAGGTTTTGTGCTGACTGCATTAGCACCAAACATCTTCATTGCTTGTCAAACTGCCTCATGCAATCAAAACACAATTTGCTCTCAAGAAGCTTACAACTGAAATACATTCAGTTAGTTGGAGGCTATTTACACAGTAAAAATGTTACTCGGCATGAGGCATTATGCTGGAACATTGTCCTCACTCTCATTTGCTTTTCTTGCCCCCAAACGCCATTTGCACTTGTTCTCCCAGCAAAGATTACCCACAGTTTCTTTTCTCTCCAATCCGGCATCGTGTCTCTACCAGTGCTTCAAACCCCCAGCTACAAAGGGCACAGCACAGCGTCAGTGGGAACAAAGGCACAGGGAGCTCAGCCTTGTTACACCAGCAGTGGAACAGCCTGTCCTTCATGGGGGAAAAAGATCAGCAGCAGGAGGCTGAAAAGCAAAGCATCACCCTTGAGAGTTTATTCTCTGGTGAGAAGTATCTACATCTCAAAATTTGTTTTAGTGAGCAAACATGGCTGTCCCTGAATACTGAATGTTGCTGCTTTGTGCAAGCGAGCCCTGGGCACTCTGAGAAGAGGCTGACCTCTCCTTACTCATATCCTGCCTCCCCACCTCCATGCCTTTTCTAGCCTGTTTTTCAAGTCTTTTCAAGGTTTCTTTCTCTAACTCAGGCTGAATTCTCTGTGAGTGAAAGAGGGACTTCTCCATGGGAACAGCTGTTAGAAAACAAACCACTGAACAAAGCTAACCTTTACAACCAAGTCAAGTGATGCTTGAATTATTGCAAATACTACCCAGGATACAATAGGACAGAATTCATCTGCCCTTTCGTTACCATGAGGCAAACACCCGGGAATGCTTCACAGGAGCTCCTCTCCCTGCTTAAACCTCTTTTTAGCAATCTCCTGGCCAGACTGTTGACAGCAATTCCCAGCAAGCGCTGGAAAACTTCCCTCTTGCAGGGGAAATTTTATTCAGTTCTCACAAAGACAGGCCAACCCAGAAATACTGAAGAAAGAGTGAGGCTTTGTGAGAAAACAGCCCTTTAAGTCATATTCCTTTGAACAAATACCTGGAAGACAGGGTGACAGGGGTCTGTCTACTCCAGATGATGCCACTGCCTTTCCACTCCAGGTACAAAATAACTTTGCCTTCCCATCTTGCTACCTGGTAAACAGGGGATAATATTTATCTTGTCAAGAAATCCCTGGATAAGGGGAGTGAGCGCAGCATTGCACTTGTAAGCACAGTTGCTGCTGGAATGCTTTTCCTTGTCTTTTTTTTTTTTTTTAAATCTTGGGAGATCTTGGGAGAAATTAGATCAATGTCCATCTAAACCACCAATCCATTTTTACTCGGAATTTTCTCGTGATTCTCTCGTGTTGTGCAGGACTGAGCCAGAAAATAAAATTTGGATCCCAGACATAACCAGAAAAGAGGTTCAGCAAAACACTGTCACTTACTAGTGCAGGTCCTAAATAAACAGAAGAGCTTGGCAGGGAAGTCATTATATATTAGAAAATTCATTTATAGTCTGTAGAAAATTTCTTCCTCTCAGACTGTAGCAAATCAAATAAGGGTGCTGCGATTGATGGGATTCTATAGAAGAGAGGACACGGTGCAAAAGCACAGAAAACAGTCATCAGTGGTAATTTAACTGGATTATCTAAAACTATATTATTTCTGCCTTTGAAGAGAAAGGAAAATAAAACCAGAGAGAATTTACAGCTATATGGGCATATAGGATTCTTTAAATGCCCTGAGTTTAGGCATAGCACTGCCCTTTCCATCTATTTTCATGTTTTATTTCAGGATTGCTGGTTGTGACAGTGCTTAAAAAGAACAGCAGTGAAGATGTCAGCTGATATTAAAATAAGATACACTTTTGCAATTTTACCTAAGTAAAAGATGCAAGATAAACTAATTTTTAAAGACATCTGCCTTTCAACGCTGCTTCAGTTATCCTGACATTTCACAGGTTTCAGAATTATGTGATTTTTCTCAACTGTATGTAGGACCAGTGATCTGTTTTATGTTGAACACTCTTGCTAATGTGTCTCAATTTCTAAATAGCACAAATAACATAGTTCATTACTAACAAGCATAAGAACTGCATAAAGAACTCAAATTCCTAAGGGAAAGAGACTGAAAGTAAAAACACTTGCAAGAGGAAATATTTTGCTTTTAACCGTAGACCTAACCCAAAGCCTGTTGAGATTAGGTTTCTCTTAGAAACAGCAGTGCACCCTTAATCCATACTGTTACTGAGGAAACTACTTGGGCAGTAATCCAAACTGAGATGATCTGATTCAATTAATACTAATGGTAATTGGAGAAAGACTACATTCAGAGAGAGAGGAACTCTGTAAAAGTCCCTCTAAAATATCCATCAGGCAGCAGAGAAACATATGTATAAACTCAGAAGATGCTGTTTGGAACATGTTACTGAAGCGATGCCTGATCGCAAACCGTCCATTATTGTAGCCACGGTAAGTTGCTGAGGTACTCAAGGACATGCTGCTGCTGCTATTTCACCACCTACTTTTGCCTTTCACACCTACCCTAACCACTTTTCCTTCCAGTCAGGATTACACGTCCTTCCCCTGACCACCAACAACCTCTGGGAAGTGTTTGATGCAAACAGAAGTAAACTACCGGACCTTAAATACTCCAGCTTTCCATAGCAAGTGACTCTCTGTATATCAGTGCCAATCAGTAGACCATATTTTGAGAGAAAAAGCACAGCACCCAGACACTACACCATTTTTAAATGACCTAAGTAATGCTCATCTTTCAGAGCCAAGATCTGTCTATCTATAGTTTGCTGCAAAGCTGCATTGTGTTGTCCATACTGGATGTAATTGAGATTCTGGTTGCTCTTTTCAGGATACTCTGGCATGTGCTGAGCTACTACAGAGCCTGGGCATGCTACTGTCAGCATATAAAACAGACCCTGTGATTGTTGGCCATACTGCTTGTATCATCAAAAACCTGAGCCTTTCCAAAAACATACAGGTAGGTCACTGTCACTGAACTATACGCTGGGAGGTTGCAGTTATGTTTATATCAAATCAGCATTACCCACAGATTTATTTTTTTTTAATGAGGCGTACACCAAGCATACTCTACACAAAATTATGTGTATGGGTAAAAGGACCTGATGTGCCATAATGAAAGTGGGTTTTATTTTTATTTTTCTAATATAATATAAAAATGCTAATGAAAATAAGAAATGTCTAATTTTTCCTATGAGTGATGTGGTTACCTAATTAGAATGACTGCATCATAGGTATAAAACGTAATTCTAACAAAGACATTTCTTACTAATTAAAGGAACCCGCCAGGAAAATGAGGTTTGTTATAAACTGAATCCTTATTTCCTAACTCTCACTCTTCAGCTGCCCTTAGTTATCCATTTACAGTGTTCAACACTGATCTAATTTCACTCACAGTTTGTTAAATATAACCCCAGCTATTGATGTATGATTTGCTTGTTTGGCAAGATACTAGTTGTGCCAGGCTACTATAAAGATCTCTATTGCTGACTTTGCTTCTAATGAAATCCATATCCACAGATGCACTTCTTTTTCCTTGCCTTTTAAGAGTACCTTAATCAAACAGTTCCACTAGTAACAATCAATATTGGGGAAAAAAAAAAAAAACACAAAACCAAATCCTAGTCTCTGCTTTTTCCCACTTTCTAGTACCTGCTTTTTGAAATTCAGTTCCTTTTTTTCCTCCTTTGTTCATGATCCAATTACCACTAGTTCCAGAGATTTAAACTAGCCAAAAGGAAAACTATTTTTTCCATTTACATTAAGATAAGAATTATATGAACCTCTGATAGTTATGAAATCAATTTTTGCAGGGAAACAGATTCCTTCAAACTAAAAGCCCCCAATAAGAGTAAAAATGGATCATCTTTTCAAAGTTTGCTTTAAAAAAAAATACTGTATTTGTCACTTAAATTCTGGGATTTTATTCTGTTACCAGGAGAGAGCTGGTTCATCTTCATAAGGCTTTATAATGTATAGAGTATTTAGCTCTAACTGCACAAGTGAATCCACAGACCTGAGTGGAGATACCAGGTTTCCAGGAATGAACCATCCCTAAAACACGAGTCCTTCGCACAAGAGGAAAAAAAGGTGTTGTTATGCCAGCAGGACACAAACAGTTGTTATGCCAGCAGGAGTGTGGGAGCTTGGAAGGCAGCAGTCTTGAATCCAGCTTTAGCCTCTAAGCAGCAAGTTGAGAAACTGCAACATAAAATGAGCACACAAAAAAAGATACTCTCTTTTGTTGATAGACACCTGAGCTCCCCTATAGAGCAAGCAGCTTCTATTATTGGGACCTCCCAGAGAGTTGACTTTGTGATTCAACTTCACCAGTAACCAGTCACCTCCAGGTGACTCATTCAGGATTCATTTCTTGATCTCATGTGCTTTTAATCCAGATAAGCACAGGTGAAGTCTCTTATCTGTTTTGAACTCAGTCTCTAAGATGTACATCCCAGTACAGAGACATGCTGTCCAATACCACTTTTGGCATAGCAGAATCAACTTAAGGGATACACAGAAATGTTTAATTCATAACATTTCCCTCCAGAAACAGAACCCACTTTTGCTAGTGAGAGGTCATCTCATATTTCTGCAGATCAGAACATTTCAACATTAGGAAGTTTTCAAAGCCCTGGAGGCAAGTAAGAGAAACTGAAAGACTTCCACATTTCTCAAGGCTTTGCTACAGAGCACTCAGCTTATTCACCTCTGCAGCAAGACTTGAACACATGACAGCTTAATATTAACATACAGCCAGGTGCAGCAGTGATCTGTGATCATGAGAACATCCCACAGACAGAGCAAGCTCTGGAAATTGCCCGTTTGGCAAGATACCTAAAATCAGGTGATATCTGAACAACCCAACGTGTTTGTCACCTGGCTGTAGTAGATCTGAGAGGAGACATTGCCATTATTAATGTTTTAGCCCTCAGTACCGCAAAGAGTTATTCAGCACTTTGGAAGTCCTCGGATACCACTAAAAGATAAAGGAAGTGCTAAACATGAATCTCTCTCTTGTTGTAGAGAATCATTGAGAGCCCATGTGTTGAAGGTCTCCTCCAGACCATGCTTTCTACCGATACTCAAGAAGACTCTCTCCGTTATGTGACATCTTGCCTTGCTGAGTTAGCAAAGCAAGGTAGGGAAGCAACCCCACCATAAATGGCTTAATCAGTTTTCTGTTGAACTGCTTAAAATTTTTTACTCAAAAATCTTTCTGCTGAACTTTACTGTTGTACGTGGTCTGTCTACTTTGATTTGTAACGTCACCCAGTTTCTCTGGCTGAATTCATTTCACAATAGCACAAACTAATATAGGAATTAAAAAAGACTAAAATACTAAGTGGCTCTTTCTCTTCACATTTTTTGCACATTTTAAGAGATCCCAAATTAGCACCAGTAGAACATACAGCACCTCCTCATGGCAGAGAGGATCAGTGTAAATTTTCCTAGCCTGCCCCAGCATTAGATACTGTCTGGCAAACATTTCCTCTCTTGTATCTGGTGTAATTGCCGTGTAACTGATGACAGGTCACATTTAATTTTTCAAAAGATGCCCACTGGGCAAGAGTGGATCTTGTACATGAAGTGATTAATTCTTTCAGAACACAGAACCAACAAATTAAAAATCCCATCAGACTTTCTATGAATCAAATCCACAGCCCTACCTTACTGAGAGCATAACCTCAGGACATGACCCTTTTTTACAACCTAAACATACATATTGCACAAGTTCAGCACTTATTTTGCTTCTCTAGCTGCATGAAGGATTTCCTGTTTAGGCAGTATGGTTTCTGGCAGACCTCTCATCTTCATTTCTTCAACACTGGAGTTTTTATTCACAGACTACTCTCTTACCTTTCTGTCTTCCAGAAGGAGCCACATTACACATGGTCCAATGGATGGATGAACCCTTGACAAAATGCTTGGTGAGACTGGCTGGCCAACTGGAACATACTGAGCCATCCTTTCAAGCTGCCTCCATCATCCAGCACATGATAGGTCATGGTAACTGTCACACAGCATTACCTCTGCTTTCAAAGAGATTTATGACTGTCTGGAGTGAAATGAGCCTTTTCCCAAATGAGTTAGCTGTCAGGCATCGAACAACCTTTAACGTTCCTATAGCATCTGGTCTCTACATATTTATTAGCATAAAAGCACCTACAAGTCACCCTTGAAATACACATAAACCAGTGCTTGAGTGCATGAGAAACCCCAGGGATTAAAATGGACCATAGATAAAGACCTGATTCAGCTGCTTGTGGCCTTCTTCAAGCACAAGGACCAGCTTCCTACCACAGCAGCCCACTCAGCGTTTTATTTACCTGAGGTATCAGCGATACCACGAGAAGCTGTAGGACAGGGACATCCTTTGCCATTCTTCACAGTAATGTTGGTTGTAGCTGAAGGTAGACAAGTCATTATCTTAAATGATGTTACAAAAATCAGTTTTTGAAGTGTTTTAAAGGCTCCTATTCATCTCAACCATTCATGGTTCTCCCATTTATGCAGAAAAAATGATCCTTTTGTTGAAGCGTCACATTGGAGAGATTCAGGACTACCTCAAGAATTTTCTTACACACCAAGAGATCCGCTTTCAGCAGCTGGGCATCTCTACATTCTGCAGACTTAGAGAAGGTATGTCCTTCTTGCTGGGCCAAGCCCCCGGGCACTGCCTGCTCCTGCCCGCCACAGGCATTGCTTTGTAAGAGAAATTACAATGTCAGGCAACTTCTCTGGCAACTAGCTCTACTCACTTAAGCAAACAGAATAATCTCAAGGGTAGCTGTTATCTGTTTTTAAGTATTTTACAGTAAAGGCAGGGGTTTTGTTTGTTTCCTTTAAAACTAAAGGCTTTTTGACCAGCAGGGAAACAGGACTTCAGGTACAGATATTTTTATCCAATATAAGAATGTTTGGCACTAGACACAGCCTAAAAGCCTTTCAAATATGAATTTATTTTATTTTGATAAAGCAAGCAAATCACATGATTATCTGGTGTTAAAGCTGGGAAGTCTCACATCTTTTTCACACTTTACATTTTGTTCCTTGATTTTTTTCTATTTTTGATTAGTTTTTTTTAGTTTTGGGTAGAAGTTGAGTACAGAGGAGAGTTATAATATGGTAACAAATGTACATAGAGTGTATCTTCACATACGTAGAGCCAGAGCCAATACCCTGCTACATCTTGATATGTACCTGTTGCATAAGGCTGAATTTGGCAACTGAGCTTTAGACATCTGTATTAGGAGACTTTAGCAACAATCAATCTTGAATGGTCATAGGAATGAAAACTCAGTATCTTTATGTAGCAGAAGACTATTGTTCTAACTTCTCTATAGTTTACACTGTAATAAAAACCGTCAACTGTATCTAACCTGAAATATAAAGCTTTCTAAGCATCTGCATTAAAATACAGGGAAAACCAGCAGGTTGCCTAACATTTATTTTTCCTCTTCAGATCCGGAATTTTCATTAGTGTTCAGAAAAAGCCAAATGGCCAAACTCCTTGAGCAAGTCCGTCAACAAACAGAAGAAACTCAAGAGCTCCTCAGGGCAGCTATTTGCCAAGATGACAGTTAATATTTAAGTGACAATATTAACTTAAAACTTACCAGATCCAAGAGCCTGAACTTTCAGAGAAGACAATTCTTTTCGCTGGTTTCTGTAGCTAGTTTTCCTGCTACTTACAGTTTCATCATGCAAAAGAGATGTTCCAATAACAAGAATTGGAGCAGGTCAAAATGCAATCCCTTGAACACTTTGGCTGACTTAAGTGTACTTGAGAACTATGGCTACATTCCTTCCAATGGTTTGGAAAACACGTTACTCTTGGCTGATCTTCCATGGTTTGTTTTTGGTTCCCTCACCACCCCCTCCAAAAAAACAGTGCTGTATTCATGAAGTTTTATTCATGTACCAGCCTCATTCTACTGAAGAAGCATCTCTCAAGTACACAGGTTCCTCTGTATTCACTTTTATTTTATCTCTGTTCCATGTCCTTTTTTTCAGAGCAGACTCCAGGGACTTGACTTTAGAAAATAACTGAATTAACCCATAGTATAAAGGTAGCAAGCTACTAACAGGTTACTACAGGAAGTAACTGCTGAGGGACAACTCAGAAAAATTGCAAGAAGTTTGTAAGTAACAGTAGGACAAGCCTTAAGGCTGATGCCTGTGTACACTGTAGGCACTACTAGTCCAGCAGGAGCAAAGGCACACTGAGGCAGGTAAATGTTGCATAGAGCATGTTCAGAACATAGCAGCTACCATACAACTTTGAGTGAGATGTCTTTGAATACAGAAGCCTCTGCTCTGCAAGTGGTAAATTATTTCCAAAGGTACTTGCAACAGGGAAAGAGTGAACAAATCTGGCAAAATTAGAAATTGATCTTATATTTTGATATTGATGCTTCATTTTAAAAGAAGTTAAAGAACAAAAAAAAATAGTAGTAATACGTTTAAATTCAACTAATTTTATTACATGTATACAGGATACTGTATACATCTATCCTGTATCTCCTCCAGGAGAGTCTGTCTTACAGACCTTTTAAGCTAATCAAACCAGCATTTTCAGGAAAAAAATGTAGCACAGTCTTGAAATTATGCGGCACTTTTTTAAATGCAGGTTTTAATTTGTAAGAGAATAGCAATCTAATAATAATAATAGCCATCATCTATTAGTAATCCAGTTCCACCTTTGATGAATACACTTGTTTTTAAATACAAGGCTGGAGCTTCATGTTGAGCTGGCTGAATACCGAAATTTTGGAACCATTCTCCTGGAAAAAACATCTGCACCCAAGTAGAACAGTTTCTTATGAAAACATTTCTGAAGAGTTTCCTGTCATTTGATGTACTTCTGACCATGCTATAACTCTTGCATGCACGTAGAGCTTTAGAGCTGCCACTGACTACAAACATGGAATAAAAGTGTGATTAAAAAAATAATGTAAAAAACCCCCATTCTGTTTTAACTAAGAGCTCAACATTGCATCATTGCATTTTACTGAGGCCCAAATCTCTTAAGCTTAGTTTTGGTGCTTGGGGGAGGCATTTCTGTTAATAATTCCTTTCAATCATTTCAAGTTCTCTCTAATAGTGCTGTTTAAAAAAAACCAAAAAACAACTAAAAACACACTCAAAAGCCTCTCTGCAGTGCAGTAAAGGCCTGTTAAAGAACAGAGCACACAGAAACTTCAGATAAATATTGAAAATGCCATATAAAGCATTAGGTGTGACAGGAATTTTCTTTTGAAATCTGATGTGAAGGACTCATGCTCAGCTGTGGGCAGTCAGTCTTATTAAGACAGAAGACTACAGTAGAGCACTGAATGACACAGCTAGACACAAACCCAGAAAATCTCAAACTTCAGGCCACCTCCTTGGGTGAATTTAGATCATTTTTCCAAAAAGAAAATCAGTGCAGTATTAAGTAACGGCATTAGAATCTGTCTGTTTTTCTTAGGTATTTAATTGCAAAAAAATATGTCAAGGTCCTCACAAGAAGGCAAATAAAGCATTCTTTATCAGGAATGAGGACATAAGAGATGTGAAACAAGCAAAACTAATGGTGAACAACCCAGTAGCTATGAGGTGACTCAATGTCACCCCCCTAAGCATTTATGTTG